ATCTGCACAGTGAGAGCCTTGACAGACCGGCAATGAGGAAGGGGTCAGGATGAAGGGAAGGAAGGGGAAGGCAGAGAGGGCCCAAGGGAAGATGGAAGGAAGGAGAAAATGAATGAGTATCGCTTGGAGACCCTGCTCCTCAATGGCCCTTAGCCCAGGAACCAGGCAGGAGTGTTTGGAAAGTCATCCACAGGAATGCAGGGAGAGCAGCAGGACTGTTGAGACCTCACCTTCTCCACGCAGGGCGCCTCTGCCAGTGCCTGGGTGACATCTCTGTGGTTGGAGCCGTGTGATCCCTTGTCCCCAACAGTGCACTCCTCGGGGCACCCTGTGATACTGCAACTGCATGGCAGGACCCACATCTTGTCTGTGACCCGTCAGCCACATCTGAAGCCACCCACCTCGGAGGGAACTCCCCACTCGGAAGTGCAGTGGCCCGATGGGCTTTAGCCAAATGCCACGAGCCTCAGCCAGTGCCAGGAAAGGCAGCTCCAGGCAGTGGGAGAATGTGGTTCCAGAGTGTAGTCACAGTACCGACAGCCACCATCTCTGGTGGCATGTCACCATTATCAAGCACAGACTCCAAGTCAGGGGCCATTGGTACAGGGTTCCAAGTGCCTTCCCTGAGCCAGATGAGGGGACGAGGGTGCATTTCCCTGGGTGGGGAGCCCCCTCTTGCCCTTGCTCAGTACCCCCTCTGAGCACACCCTGGACACCCCCACCTCCTGTGAACCCAAGGCCTGTCTCAAACTGCAGCCCTGCTCTATAGGGGGCAGTTGGAGCACTGGAATAAGGGAGACAAGAAACAGGGGAGCATGGGCCAGCAAGAATGTCTGCTGCAGCCCTGTGTGCTGCTGATGCTCGGACTGTCTGTTCAGGCCGCGGGGGGGGAAGCAGGGATGGGTCAGACAGTCCAGTCAGGTTGGGAACCTGCCTCCTACCCGCAGAAAACACATCTGGGGACCCCTGAGCACAGAGGAAGAATTCTGAATCTCTCCTAGTCTGGACCATGCATGCCGCTAGCCTGGCTCACTCTAGGCCTCAACTCTTCTCTCTGGCCTAGTGTAGCCTTCCACCTGTGTAGTGGTTGGGAGGAAGTGTGCCGCCCCACCCCTGCAGTCTCCTCTTCCCTGTCCTCATGCATGTGCACAAGAGCTGCACATTCTAGAAGCGCCGTTCCCCTGTGTCTGGAGGTACCCGTTTTCCTCTGTCTGAGGACCCGACTTCGCTGTCCCTGTCCTCGCACATGCGCATGAGCTGCACCTTCCATGTGGCCCAATCGCGCAGTTCCTGTGTCTGGAGGTACCCGCTTTCGTCTCTGAGGACCCGACCTCGCATCAGGGAAGCCCTTTCCTTTTGACTTCCAGCTCATCCTACACCTGTCTGGTTCTCCAGGGAAGAGCCACGATGGAAGAGCTTCTCATGGCTGGGTGTGGCTCTTCTACCATCAGCTCCTTCTAGAAGCCAGCCAGGACAGCAGGCAGGCGGATGGGCAGGCGGGTGGGCAGGCGGGGCTTCTCCTGGCTTGCTCTAAGGTTCCTTCTGTCTGTCTCCTCTTTACGTATTTGAGAATAAAAGCAACACAGGCTTTGCCCTGGCTGTGACCACGATATTTACTACTTAAATATTAAATACTAACATTTAAGAAACAAAGCCGACCGGGGTTCTTGCCGGCCAAGCCGCTGCGGTGACAGTGGTCTTACGAGCAGTGTGCTGAGGGAAATGGACCACAGCAGCTGGCCTCCTGGCCTCCAGAAAAGCAGTTACACAGGGAAAGGAGGGCCCGTGGCCTTGAGCTTTGAAAGTTAAGGAGAGCCCAGAGGGCCAGGACACTAGACAATGGAGCCTTCCTCATCCGTCATGGACAGCCAAGCGGCCATTGAAAGTGAGCAGTCTCTGACAAATGCTGGTACGTGGTTGGTTCAGCCTGACGCTGATGGAACAGGAATTGGAACTTTAGGGATAAAGAACAGAATGGCATTCTTACCTTAGCTCTCTCAGACGAGAAAAAAGAAAGTGATTCTGTTCTCTCTCTAAGGAGGGAGAAGAGATGAGAATGAGAGAGAAAAGGAGGGGAGAGAAAGAGAGGAAGAGAGGGGGAGGGAGGGAGGGAGGGAGGGAGGGAGGGAGGAGAGAGAGAGAGAGAGAGAGAGAGAGAGAGAGAGAGAGAGAGAGAGAGAGAGAGAGAGAGTCAGTCCAAGGGGTAGTTAGCTCTGGAGAAGAGGAGCTGGACCCTTCCTGGGGATTACGCTGCCACAGATGCACTCTGGAAATGTCTGCTCTGGAGGTGCTTGTCCTGGAGCTGCTGCTGGCTGTGGGCAGGACTTTCCTCTCCAGACATTCTGGATGGTGTCTCTAACATCAAATGGCAAGTCATCAGGCCTGTGGTCTTCCTCACCTGGCTGGAAGTTCAGGTTTGGACCAGGAAGAGTCAAGGATATTGTGGTGAGGCTGGTTCCTGGGTCACTTCCCCGGTGACAAATGAATGGACACCTGGAATTCCCCAGGGACCTGTCATTAGCCTTTATATCGCTTGAGATTTTTATCAGTGACTTGAATGGAGAGGCAGCCTGGTGACCCACAGCTGACAGGAACAGACCCAGTAGCACAATGGAGTCTCCAAACAAGGCCAGTGGTGCCTGCGACCAGGGGAAAAGAAACAGGAGGCAGCAACCGTGGCAGATTACGGAGCCCCAGCTCCCCAGTGACAGGAAATCAACAGGCTGAGTGCCGGGACTAGGCCAGTGCTGGCTATGGGGAAAACAGCCCCATGGCTTTGAATGCTGCCAACTGGAAGCGCCCTGCATGTCCACCAGTAGGGGACAGGTTAAACAATAGAAGGAATGAGGCTGATGGGGACATTCTCCCTGACACCTCTTAAGTACAAAGCAGGATGTGCGGTCCTGAATCTGACAGCATGGATCTGCTTCTCTTAAATACTAGAAGCTATGTCTGCATGCAGATAGCAGGGGACCAAGGTGCTGGTCAGGTCTTTTGAGTCACCATACATATGTACATGTATGTATGTGCATGTATAGTATATATGTATAATATATAATTCTCTACCCCCTATAAGGATAGAGCATCCTGCATAGAAGTCCTCATTTGAAAAACAAAAGATCACTCAGAGTTAAAAACAATAAACCCGGTAGTATAAGGTTATACTAGCAGAATCATAAGCCTCCGGCTGAGGGAGGTGTGCATCTTGTCATATGCTAAACTGTCTAGGTTATGCTCAGAGGAGGGGAAGCCATATTTGGAAAGGAACCCTGGTAATTGGATCCTATGTCAGGGGACAGCTTGGCTAGAATGGGGGAGACTAGGCAAACATGGGGATCATGGAGAGCTGCTGAATGCTGTGTTAGTCAGAGAGACACTAGAGGTCTAGCCTGCAGAAGCAGCAGCGGCCTGGTTAAGTTCTCCGAAGGGCAGGATTGGGCCAGTGGTTTGCAAGGCACGGGAGTTGAGGCTTGACCTAGGATGGCCTTGCTAACAAAAATGGCTCAGTATTGCAAGAATGAGCTTCCTGGCACCGGGCTGTGGTGGCACAGGCGGATCTCTGTGCGTTTGAGGCCAGCCTGGTCTACAAAGCAAGTTCCAGGACAGGATACAAAGCTACAGAAAAACCCTGTTTCAAAAAACAAACGAACAAAAAACAAAACAAAAAAAAGAATGAGCTTCCTGTTACCAGATGTGTTCAAAGCTGCCACTGAGGGTTGTCTAGGGTGCTGTAGAGACATCCACAGAACCACCAGGAGCCATGCTTTGGTATCTATCACTCCAGCCCAGGTGAAGTTGAGTTTGATTGGGAAGTCTGCTTTCTGGATCTGTTTTTACTTCAAAGGCAGATACTCCAACTAATTCTTCCCCTTGTTTCACAGAACACTGTCATAATCACCTATAGTCCCCTTTGACACTAGTTTTCACTTTATTTATTTATCTGTTACAGTATATGTGTGGATGTGTACATACATGTTCATGAACTTTGTACATGTGTGCACTTGCATGTAAAAGCCAGAGGGTGATGGCAGGAGTCTCACCTTGTTTTTTGAGTCGGAGCCTCTCACTGAACCCCCAGCTCACTGAATTGGCTAGGCTCGCTGGCCAGTGAACTCCAAGGGTCCTCTTGTCTCTCCCTCCCCAGAGGTGGGGATTACAGATGCACACTGACACATCTGGCTCTTTGTCTGGGTGCTAGAGATTTGAACTCATGTCCTCATGTTTGTATGACAAGGACCTTACAGACTGAGAAATCTCCCCAGCCCAATGCCTTTAATTTTCCCACTTTTTTTTTTATACGAGACAGGGTTTCTCTGTATTGTTTCGGAGGCTATCGGTCCAGCCCGGCCTCGAACTCACAGAGATCCACTTGCCTCTGCCTCCCGAGTGCTGGGATTAAAGGCATTCGCCACCACCGCCGGGCTAATTTTCTCACTTTTATACTTCTCTCTCTTCCTAGAACCAGGCCTAGACTCCCATCTACGTGTTTGAAGTGTCTTAAGATATACATCTCCTCTGCATACAGGCAGTCATGTATTCTGTACGTTATATGATTTATATGGCTTATGTTCTGCTATGCTATGACTCTCTACTGCCTATTGTCTTCATTCAACATTGTTAATTAAGATCTATCTTGTGGTGCTCACACCTATAGTACAGTCCCAGCCCTCGTGAGGCGGAGGCAGGGGTATTGCTGAAAGTCTGAAGCCAACTTAAGTTTACATAGTAAATTCCAGGGAAGCTCAAGCCACAAAGTAGGACCTTGTGTGCACCCTGCCCAGACTTCCTCTTTTGTATAACGTCTATTCATATCTGTGCCACCCCCCATTGAATTCCCCCGTTTCATAGACTGACTCGAGTGTCTCGGCCATTTTCAGCTTTAATCCTGGGCGCGCTCACGGTGCAGCCGTCTTCTCCCTGCCCGAGGGCCTGCCATTCTAGCAGCGTGCGGGGCAGCGGGTATGCGCGAGTGCAGGCTGAGGTCGCTTTGAATTCCGCCACTCGGTGCTTTTCAGGTTCCCTCATCCACTGCTGGTGAGGATGTGAGCTTGTGCATCCCGCGAGTCCTCAAAGATCTAAAGATAGAACAGCTGCCTGGCGCAGCCACATCGCTCCTGAGCGCAGGCCCGGGGGAACAATGGGCAGCACACGGCCGTGGTGCCCGCACAGCTTTGATCATTGTGGCACCATTCACAGGCGCCCAGGTGTGGAGCCAGCCTAGGTGTTCACCAGCAGATGAGTGGAAGAGGGAATGTGGTTTATACGCAGGGGAGTTTTATTTAGCCTCGTGGATGGAAGTTTCGGAAAAACCCGTCTGCACAGCCTCAATGAACAAGGAAACGATATCACACAGGGTATGGCAGCAGAATGGGGTAATTGGGCTGGTGGCCTCCCTGTTCCCTATAGCCTTTTCTTTCCCATGAGCTTCTCCATAAGAAAGAGTAGTGTAAGTGGGGGATAAAGAAAGATGAGTGTCAGTCTTTATATGTAGGTTTTGCTTAATGTACGTGGCATGTACGTATGTGTATGCATAACACGATAGCAGAGGAGAACTTTCTGGAATCAGAAAGAGGATATGGAGTAATAAGAGTAATGGGGAGGGGTGAGCTAAGTACAATAATCACCGTGTATAAAAATGTTAAAATGAAACCCATTATTTTACATGCTACCTAAAAACATTAAAACAAAACTCTTGCTCTTTCCACACAGCTACCTAGGCATCTCTATGGGGAAGGCAGAACCCTGAGGAGGAGAGCATGGCTGTGGCAGGGCCCCTACGTGTCACTTCCCATCAGAGCTGGCCATTGTGACAGTGGGCATGGGGTCTTGTGGTTGAATGGCTCAACTCTACCTGGAGGGTGAGCTGCTTCTTGTGGATAAAGTGTAGAGCAGCTTTGCGTTCAGAAGATGCCATTAACCTTCTAGTTTTCCTTCACTGGGTGGTGGGGCTAACGCAGGGGAATTTGAGCTATGTATGCCAGACTAGTCTCAAACTCATGATCTTCCTGCCTCTGCCTTCCAAGTGCCAAGATTATAAGCATGACTCCATGCTAGACCTGTGTTGGAATTTTCTTTCGTTTATTAATTTATGTTTTTGCATATACATGTGTGTGTGTGGTTGGTGTATGTTCATATGTGTGTCCATGGTGTGTGTGTGTGTGTGTATGTGTGTGTGTGTGTGTGTGTGCGCGTGTGTGTTATATGTGGGGGGGGCATGCACGCATGCGTATAGGCCAGAGGTTGACATCTGGAGTCTTCCTTGATCACTCTCCATCTAACTTACTGAGGTAGGTCTCTTGCTGAACTCGGAGCTCACTGACAAGGCTAGTCTAGCCTGTTCTCCAGAAACCCCCGTCTCTGCTAACCACATTCTGGGATTGCCGATGGAGCACCTAGCACGTGTGTTCTGGGCCTCCCAACTCCAGTTCTCAAGCTTGTGTGGCGAGCCTCCTCTCCCCAGCCACTTCACAGGATTTTTCTTAACAACAGAGGTTTATTTCTTTTATCTCAATAGAAGCTTTGAATTCGGGCTGCAAGGTTTTCCTGCCGCTTTGACTGAGAGGTAGGAAGTCTCTAATTGCTCCCCTTGAGTCTGGTCTGGCCTCGATTACTTCCTGTGCTCAAGAGAACAGCAGCTCTGTGCTGTGAACACCCAGAACAGGCTATGCATCTTCAGTCAGGCCTTCCTAGGACTCCAGAGAAGCCGCCCACCATGGAAGACAGCTAGATGCTTGGAGACTACCCTGTTGAGAGTACACAGACAGCCGCTCCAGGCAGCAGCCAGCCCCACTGCCAGGCGCAGGGTGAGGCTCTCTCAGCTAGCCGGCTCTAGCTGATCTCTCACAACAAATGCATGAGGCCTGAAATGACAACCGCCCAGCTAAGCTCTCCCTGGATGGCTTCCTAAAATCACGAGACAACACAATTGCTGGTTTTGCCTTGCTAGGCTTGGGGGTCATCTGTGATGTAGCAACGGTAGCTTTGGCAATCTCTTTGCTGGTAACTCTGAACGGGCCTCTGCAGCTCATCACACATTGTTCCTGATGGCTTCAGTACGGTGCTACCTGACTTTATTTTTTTTTTAACTTTTTTTTGCTACCTGACTTCTACATGTGCTTTTTTTCCGTGATGAGTTGGATGTTGCATGTATATATTCGGAGATATAACTTGACGCTTCCGACATTGTCATCTTCTATCAGAGAAGATCCACAGTTGTCTCTGTCAGGCCCCCTAAGTACCCAGGAGACGCCACCTCCTGCTTCTGGTTTAGGGGCCAAATGGAAACAGTTCTTCTGACTCACCTTCAGCCTTTATTGGAGTGCTTGCTCAGAGAGGGGCACTGCACTAAGTTCCACTTTGGTAAGCCGGAGTTCTGCCAGAAGGGCCGTTCTGCTCTGTGGGCAGTGGGCTGACCACTCCTAACGTGAGAACATATTGGCCTTGGGGGCAGGCGGGGGAGGCCTCAAGCACCATTCTTAGTCTGTAAGTCTTGGACACGTGGCCCACAAATTCCTTACTATCTTGTTAGATCCCTGGTGAATGTTCTGGCTAAAACATGCACATAATCATCAGCCTTGTCTATTTTTATGTTGGTGTATGTTGCATGTATGTGAGCGCAGGTGAACGCTCTGATGCATGCACCCATGCAGAGGCCAGAGCATGACGTCAGGCGTCTTTCTCGGCCACTTTACATCTTGAGACAGGGTTTCTCACGGAACCACAAGCTCACTGTTTCCGGTAAGCGGGCCAGACAGTGTGCTCGCTCTTGAGATCTGCCTGCCTCTGCTCCCTGAGGTTATAAGCATGTGAAGCCATGCCCAGCTTTTTATCTGGGTGCTAAGTATTCAAACTTAGGTATCAAACTTAGGCGTAGCAAGTGTCTTACCCACTGAGCCTTCTCAGTAAGCAGAAATTGATCTAGTTGAATTCCCCCGGCAGACTTGAGGCTATCCCCTAAGAGTTTCAGTGTATTACTGACATTGCCTCTGTCCTGAGTACTCTGGAGATTGTTTTGCTTTTGAGTTTTAGGTTCCACTTTGAATCCCTTATGCCTTTACCATTGATGAGCGTGAGGGTGCCTCTCCCGTGTCAACTTGACTGGATTTAGAATCATCCAGGAGACACACTTCCGGTTGTATCTATGAGAGACCTTTCACTGAGAAGGGAGGAATCGTGGGATGATCCCATGAGCCAGTGTTTCAGACTAAATAAAAAGAACATGAGGAACCCAGCTAAACGCCAGGGTTCATCACTCTCTGCTTCCTGACTGTGGACACGGTGTGATCAGCCCCCTCAAGCCCCTGCTGTCATACCTTCCCCACCACAGTGGGCTATCTCAAACCATGGACCCGAATGAATTCTTTCTCGTCATGTGCTGACCTCAGCAACAAGAAAAACCACCAGGGTAATGAAACTGTCTTTCATGGCCTTTACCCTATCTTGAGTTAATTCTTTTGGTACATATTAAACTATACAACCAAGATTGCTGGCATAGTGCGTGCCATAGAGTAGGGAAGTTCTGATTCAGGTGAGAGGAGATGAGTGTAATTGTCAGAGCATCTTTGTGTGTGTGTGTGTGTGTGTGTGTGTGCATGTAGAGGTGCTCTTGTGTGTACAATTGCATTTGTGTGCACAGGTATGTGGACAGGTGTACAAGAGTATGTGTACAATTGCATGTATGTGTACAAGGGTGTATGTGTGCACAGGTACATGAGTGTACGAGTGCATGGGTATGTGAGTGTGCATGAGTGTACAGGTGTACATGCATATGCACGTGACATTGAAGACAACCTTGGGTGTTACTTCTCAGGGGACATCCACCTTGGCCTTTCTTTCTCTTTTCCATATGTATGCTGTGTGTGTAGGGTTCATGTGTGCACATGTATTCAGGAGCCTAAAGTTAGCGTGATTGTCTTCCTAGATTGCTCTCTGCTTTGTGTATTGAGACAGGGTCTCTTGCTTAACTTGGAGCTCACCGATTCCTGCTAGTCTAGCCAGCTCATCCCAGGGGTCCTCTGTCTCTACTTTCTGTGTGCTGGAATTAGAGGGGACCAACCCATCTGCTCGCCTTTTATACAGGTTCTGGGATCTGAACTCTGGCCTTCACTCTTATACTGTATGCACAGGGCCATCTTCCCAGTTCCCATCTTATATGTGAGACTCTCTCACTGGCCTGAAGTTCACTGATTAACTAGGTTGGTTAGCCAGTGAGCCCTAGTTATCCATCCGTCTCTGGTTCCCCAGTGCTGAGATTACAAACATGGACTGTTACAGCTTTAAAATTTGTTCTTTTTAAAAATGTAGATCAGCAGTTCTCAATCCGTGGGTCACAACCCCTTTGACAAGCCTCTATCTCCAAGCTATTTGCAATTCACAATGGTAGCAAAATTACAGTTATGAAGTAGCAACAAAAATAATGTTATGATTGAAGGTCACTACAACATGAGAAACTGCATTAAAGGGTTACAACATTAGGAAGGTTGAGAACCGCTGATGTAGATGAATGTTTTCCCTGAATGTCCGTGCGTGTATGGTGTCCACGGGAGTCAGAGCCCCTGGAACCGGAGTTATGGATGGCAGTGAGCCACCATGTGGGTCCTTGGAATTGCACCAGGGTTGACAGCCTGCGATCGTTAGTGTTAATTAGCAACTAGAGTCACCTGGGAGATGGGTCTCTGAGTATGTCTGCGGAGGGGTATCTTGATTTTGAGATGGGGAGACCTGCCCACAGCAGGTGGCATCATTCCCTAGTTGCCATGCTGGACTGTATGAATGGGAAAAGAACTGCGCTCTTTTCTTCCTACTGTGGTTGTAGCATGGTCAATTGCTACAAGCTCCTTGCTGCTTTGACTTCCCTGCCATGGTGGTCTATGCCTTGAACTGTGAGCTAAAGCAAACTGCTGTCTCCTTGAATTGCTTTGTTCAGGATAGTTTACCCCCGGAACAGGAAAAGGAGCTAAGACGCAGCCCCAGAGCAGCTAGCTGTATCTGGGTACCCTTAGAGCATTGCCCTACAGTAGCCCAGCTGCTGTGGCCAGCAACGGGCTGCACCCTCTTTGTTTCTGAGACCCCACCCTGTCTCCTGGCCCGGGAGACTCAAGAACTCTTGGCACAGAAGGACGCTCCCTGCTGCCCAGCGGAGATGACCACTTCATGGAGAGAGGAAGGCGGAGGAGAGTGAAAAGAAAGTCCTCTTTCAGGCTCAAGACGAGGTGGAGTAGCAGGCCAGCGGCCTGCCAGGAGCTGACTCACCGGCATGGGACAGGGCGCTCACTACAGGTGCACTCAGGCCAGCAGACAATAGGCGCCTGTTGCAAACAGCCCCACACCCCAGACTGACCACCGGATTCAGGCAGAGACTGATGGCCCCAGGGGAGCCTGGGGGCTGGGGGTGGAAAGAGAGGGCCCGAGCTGGAAGCTGTCATCCTTGTGCCTTTGATGGGCTTGGCTCAGTGTACACTGTAACCATGTGATTTCATGGCTGGGGAGACAGAGGCGTAGAACAAGAGACCTGGGCGGCCTCAATGTTGCTCTTGTTCATCAGTTGTTAGTGCTGTCAGCATGCTCTGTGTCACTGGGGGCGGGACACATCTCTTCTGAGTTTCATCTGACCCCTCTCTCGTGAGCCCTTCACCTGAATGCTCTCCTTAGTAATCTTCGCTGGCCTTTGACAGGCAGCAGCATCGCTTCCATTTTACAGGAAACCTACTGAGACAGCTGACCCAACAACTACAGCCAACACGCAGACTTCAAAGCCAATCCCCGCTCCATGAAACTGTTCAAACAGACCGGCACCCAGGGCCTGGCAGGCTGGCCCTCACACAGCCTACATCCTGGAGCCTTCGCAGGGGCAATAGGCATGGGAGGGTCAAGAAGAGTCTTGGTTGGAGAGGGATGGGCAGGCAGGGAGGTGAGCGGGGCTGAAGGAAGAGACTGCTTCGGTGAACTGAGGTGGGGGTGGAAAGGCTGGGTGCCAGGCTGCCAAGGCTCTGCCATTGCTGGTTGTTGGAATGTGGGCAGATTCACAGATGTTCTGAGGGGCTCAGTTTTTCCA